ATTACTTAAACTTATTTACTATTTTATTAACCCCAAGAACCCATTTCTGTCCAGTTTAGTTAAAATGCAGACCTATTGGATAATGGTCACCTGCAATATTTACCATCAAAAGTAAAATGTTCTTCACACCCGTTGGAAGAAGTTGAAAATATTTTAACGGCCCCAACTCCTGCAGTCAGATGCCCCACTACATCTCCCAACCATAGGGACTAGGAAACCTGCACAGATTTTTCCATTCCCGCTACAGCTAGAGACTCCCAGGCCCTGATGGCACAGAGCCAAGCCCAAGAGACCAGATATCACTACCTCAGCAGATTTATTTTCTGCTAGCAGATTCCAAGCTCCATATAAGCTGACAGAGGGGTGCCAAATGAAGGGCCAGCCAGCATGCAAGCTCATCAGAGCAGGGTCCAACATTTGACATGAACTGCTTTAGTCAGACTAGTCAATGGTGACATCTAATGCTGAGTGACCTTGGGTGATTGCTTGCTTGCTCACACACACACACACACACACACACCCAACTGTTCTGATAAAAAGACATGTACTCTCGTTTCCTAAAGAACCCAGATAATCACTCTGCCAAACTGTCACATTCTAAAGTTTTTCCTCTTCTTCTGTCTTATACAGGGCTTGAGATTTCTGATTTGCACCACAACTGCACCACCAGCCAACACATGTGGACTTCCAAAGTACTACTGAGTCACCTGGGGAAGACCCACCTTCCTACATGGCTGGCCTTTCCCCACTGTGCTCCCGTGAGTCTGTTTTCAAAGATGCTGTAAGTCTCTTTGCTGGGAAGCAGTTGCGTGGTAGGATTTCAACCTGCATTGGCTGCTTGTACTCATCATAGCAGGAGTACAAGTCCATTCTCCATTAGCTTCAAAAGATGGCACTTACCTCCATTTCTGCACTAATACGCTAAAATATAAGCCGACTTGCACAGCAATTTTATTTACAGTATTCTATTTCTTAGCCGCTCTCAGGCTGTGTTCCGACAATGCACTGTGTGCTTTTGCTATGGTGGGGAGGGACAATTCTGGAGAATTGTAATGGGGAATCTAGCACACCATTCAATGCCACATGGAATCACATTGGAAGACTCATTTCCAGCCAGATGTGAGGAAGTAATGCATCAGGTGTGCTAAAGACCTAGTGTGAAAGGGGCCCTCGTTTCACTGAGGAAGGCAGCCACTAACCTTTGACAGAGGCTGATGCCATGCTACAGAAGCGAACCATACACAGGGGCAACAATTCCTATTGCTTCTATAAGCCTCCCGTGCTTTATGAGAAAGCTAAATGAAAGCCTCCTCCAGTAAAGGGAGCCACCCTTGGCAGATACTAAGTGCCTTGCACATCTTGGTTTCTTCCCTCCCCAAAGGATATTGAGTAAGAGCTGTTCAAACACAGCTTGGCATAAGAGGCATCTCTGCCAATTGTGGCCTTTCGGTTTGGTTTCCTTATAAATCTTGTGGTTTTACACTTTGTATATGGATGCCTGCTTTTTCACCCCCTTCTGCCAAGCATCCTTACCAAACAGTCTGTCAAAGCAACGCTGTTTCGAGGATTCTAAACACACCCTTTCTCCCAAAGGAACCCCGGGGAGTCATATACAACACCTCCGTTTAACACAATACCGAATTTAATACAATTTAGAATTGACCTCAGACACACTAGTTCTGTTTCAAGTGCCAGTTGGCAACAGCAGTAGACATCAATTTGCAAATAATGGAAAGATCAGGCGTTGTAGACACCAACTTCAGCTCCAAAGTAGTGACCCCACCCCCTTTCCTAGACAAATGTACTGTTCTTTCACTAACCCTCACTCTTTGCAGTATTGCCAGCTGTTTACCAGAAGAAAGAATACTCCCTTAACAAAACAACCTCAGACCCTTTGGGAAGGGCCACAGCTGAGTGACAGAACACCTTCTTTACGTACAGAAAGTTCCAGGTTTGATCACTGGGGGAGAACCCTGTCTGGAATCCTGGAGAGCTGCTGCCAGTCAGTATGGAGCCAGATGGACCAGTGGCCTAACTCAGTATAAGGCAACTTCCTACATGTTCCTATGGGAAGGGGAAGAACCTGTCCATTCCTTCCACATCTTTATCTAACATATCTTTGAAGAGGTCCCAGAGGTCCCTGCGAAGGGGGATTGTTTGTTCAACCACTCTGAGAACTGCTCTGTGAGGCTGCCTTACAACTCAGCCCTCTTAACTACAGGTCCCAGAATTATTCAGAGGAAGCCATGACTGTTCAAAGCGGTGTCACAGTGCTTTAAATGTATGGTGTGAAGGTGTTCTAATGGAATGGGATTTTGCTGTAACCAACTCTGCTCAAGGAATCGTTTCTTTTTCTGCAAAATTATCTGGATGGACTTAAGCGTGCTTCGCTAGAGCAAGTTCTCCTCACCCCCAACAATCAAGTCTAGGGACCGACCACTGCCAGAAATATGGCGCTAGGGAAACACACGGAAGGGATTGGGAAATAAGGAGCAGGGGGTTATTTCTGCCCAGCTCCCAGCTCTCTGTGCTCAGCCTATCAACTCTCTTGCTCACCAGCCTGAGGTTGCCTCTCCAACAACCCACTGCAGTCGCACACCCATGACCGACGCCTTCCTATACTCCCAACCCTATTTAACCTAATTACTGCTCTTCTTGGGACAGGGTTGCCTTCAAAATAGGGCACCTGAACCTAGTATACAATTGTGGGTTTCTACTATGGAAGGTATAGTCTTCCATAGTAGACTTCTATAGTCTTCCATAGCAAGACTATGGAAGGTCTCAAGAGCTGCTCCAATATGGAAGGACTTTGCCAACTTCTTTCTATTAGGATCTGGGGGTGGCACTGTGTGGCACTCCCCACCTCTCTTCCTCTAGGTCCCACAAACAGCTCAACATAAATTGTGCATAGAAAGTACCTTTATTTCAGGCAGCCCCCCCCCCCCCCGTTCATTCTTTCCCTTCCTTACAACCGATTCACAGCCAGAAGATGTCTTTGCCCTTCTTGTCTCTCTAGCCACTTTTGTTAACGGGCTGCAGCCCTACCGCCCCTGTGATCCAAGAATTCCCACCTGCGAACCAACCCATCTTCTCTAGTACAGGCCAATGACCAGTTGTCAGCATACAACCCTGTGTTAAAATGAGTGTTGCCTCACAGCTGATAACTCAAATGTCACCCCCAGGCAGCAACACCTACTCCACAGCGATGGCACCCTAAAGACTTGGATTACTATGACAAAAAAATTCATGGATTAGAGCTAGTTTGGATATTCTATAAACTTCTGTGGGCTAACAAATCTTAGGGTGTCACTCTTGTTTAATGCTGCAACAGACGGATATGGTTACCCCATGGGAGTTGGTTTTTTTTAAAGTCTTCCATTCCCTTCTGCTTCAGGGACAGAGCCTTTTCCTAATCCACAGGATCAAAGGGAAGGGTACCCTAAAACACAGACTGCCTACACTTGTCTTTGTATTACATTTATGTTATCATGTAGTAAACGATCCTGTGGCCTTTTGATAGAGGGTAGTGTATAATTTCTTAATACCACCACCCACTACATCAGGGCACTTTTCAGTATCCTACCAATCACAGCTAACATTCCTCATTTCTAAGATTTCACTTAGACTACTAGTCTCAACTCAGTTAAGAACTTAGAAATTGTATTTCATTAACTACAGATCTGGTGCAACACTGCAGCAATCTACCATTCTTGGCTCCCACCTGTAATTGGGGGCATCAATATGAAGGTTGTTGCAATTACTAACTTCACATATACAATACTCTGAACTATTCTCTGCCAAATAAGTTTTTGTCAAACCTACAGCTAGCCAAGGCCTGAGCTGTCAATTAAGGCACCCAAATTTTGGCTTCGATATAAGCCTGGCCTACTCTCCACAGTATGGAGTTAATGCTCATTTAATTTAACGGGGGATTATGAGAAGGATTAGCACAATTACTCAAAAAGCTTTACATTCTCAGAATATACTGTATAAGGCTAAGTACTCACGGCCAATATGCTTCCTTGGCTTTTCCAGGAGGAGCCACAATAGCTAAACTGGCTACAAAATTATGCTTTACAAACACCTATTCATTCCAATCAAGAACGATGGCTACATAGAAGAGATAACATAAATAATGTTATCTAAGATAGGCTCTTCTAGTTCCTCTCCTAATTGACAGGCTGAGTACACACCGTACATTTTAAGCACCCTCCCAAAGAATCCAAGGAACTGTAGTTTGTTAAGGGTACTTGGAATTGTAGCTCTGTTAGAGGTAAACTACAGTTCCCAGGATTCAGGGTGGGGAGAGAGAATGTGCTTTAAATGTATGGTATGTATGCAGCCTCTCACATACAGGCTTTATACCAGATCTTCTAGTTCAGAATGAGTCAAATAAGTGAACACTGTATAATAGCTGGAGAAGGCTGCACTGACCTAATGACAGTTGACAGCTATGTTGCTTATTAAGGCTGCATCCCTAGGGAGACTTCCTGGGGAGTATGACCCGCTGAACTCAACAAGTCTTATATTCAAGTAAACATGACTAAGATCAGGCGACAAGATTTGTCTTTGAGTTCTTTGTCAGGAGGGAAACTCGTGGCCTTTTATAACATGCAATAAGAAGCCTGGCGAATGGGTGCAATCTTGGGCATGTCCTGCTGCAAAGTAATCGATGCTTTACCGCTGCTCTTTTAAAAGGCATGCTTTATTGTTAAATTGCAGTGCATTCTCTTTGCTGTTAGGAACTTACGGCTGTTGTTGGCAGACGGGGCAAGGTTAAATAAGCCTAATAAATAAGAAGAGCCCAAAGATGTGCCTTTAAGACTGTTTCCAGAGTTTTCACTCCTGAAAGTCAGAACCTTAGAAGGCAGGTCCACTGAAGGCAACGGGGATTACTCCCGTGTAAACGTGCCGATTCTTAATAATGCCTCTTTTTTTGGGCGGGGCGGGGGGGAGATTAAGTACGCGGCCACGCCAGTCCACCGGGTCCTGCCACTCACCTGCACGATCCTGCGCGGCCGCACCGATAAGGTGGGGAAGTTGCCGCGGCCGTGGATGGGGACGGCCTCCTCGAGGATGTGGTCCAGCCGCTTCACCTGCTCCCAGCCGAGGACGCTGAAGCGCCCGTCCCTGCCGCTGCTGGGCGGCTGCTTCTCCGAGCTCGCTGCAGCGCCCGAGGGCCCGGCGCCCGTCACCGCAGCCGCCGACCCCGCCGCGAGCATGGTGAGAAGACGAGAAGAAACGCTGAGGCTGGAGGAGAAAATTAAAACGGGCTGGACTCGCCGAGAAAACCAAACCGGATTGATTTTTAATTTTTTTTAAAAAAAAAGCCGAAAGAAAATTCCAGGCCGGGCAGAAGAACAGCAGCAGCAGCAACTACCACACTGCAGAGCTGAGAGAAGCAAGTCTATATCTGAAGGGACCGGAGGGGGCGGGGAAAAGGGAGGCGTAACCGCGCCGCGTGCAACTGCCAAGTCCCTATTTCGACCCGTCCCCTCCTTCCAGCCGCGCCTGCAACACGAGCACTGCGGATGCCTATAAGTGTGCAGCCGTCTTATATATCCCTGCGGCGACGCGTTGCGATTGGCTCGGCTCGACCAACCAATCCTCGACGTACTTTGGCAGCTCCGGTCGTTCTAATTGGAAACAAGCCCCACCCCACTTTCGATAGCGCCCTGCCCCCTTAAGCAATCCGAATGAAAATATGCGGCGATGAAGTATTGGAAGAGGGCAGCTGAGTCTCGGCTCGGACGTCGAAGGGAATCCTGTCTCTGATTGGTCAGCCTACGGAAGGCTGTGATTAAAGAGACAGAAGTGCTGCTCAAAGCAACCTGACTTAAAAGGTAAAATAGAAATTAGAGCAGTCTGCGTAGCCGGGGCTCGGAGCCGGTCTGGAATTCACGGCCATCGTCTTAAAAGCACAGATAAGCCTGGCTGATGGTGGTTATTCAGAGAGGTCGTGGAGAGAAGGGGGGGGGCGGTACTTTGCACATACTCAGAAGTACTCTCGTCTTCATGTTTCTCACGATCCAGCCTGACCCAAGTCTAACCTTGGAAAGGGGAGATAGTGTGGAATAGAAGACAGGATGTTGAAACTGACTGGCCTTTATGAAGATTGGATGTGAGAAGTGTGAGGGAAGATAAATGGAATGGTGAGGTATGGGGAGTTTATAGAGAAGTATTGAAGACTTTTTTTTTTCAGATGGAAGGGAGGAGGATTTGGGAAGTGATCGGGTGCTGCAGGAATTTTGTGCTGATGGAGCCTTCCAACCGGGTACATGCATGCAAGGTGGGTTAGTTTAAGAAAACAACAAATAAAAAAGCCTAAATTTACTATGTCTGCAGTTAAGTAATTTGTTAAATGTGCTTAATAAAATAAGTGGTAGCTGCCAATCAATCATTTTTCCTACCTTTGGGGTCTGAACTGACTGAACAAAATCCAGCACAGAGTTAAACCCCCTGATTTCAATGGGTTTAAGATTTCCTAAAACTGTGTTGGATTACAGCAGTTGACCAGAACACTGTAGGCAGATTTAGTGCGCAACTGATGGAATCTTGTTTCCCCTTTTTTTGTTTTGTCTCTGTATCTTGAAATGTTGAAAGAGTAGGAATGTGACAATTTCAAAAAACAAAACAAAACCCTCTGTAAATTTAGCTAAGGGGCCTTGGGCATCTTGGAGGCGACCAGACTCACTCATCCCTGCCCCCCTCCTCCTTGGCTGTGATCACATTGAAGTGATGGAAAAGCTTGAAGCTTGGACAGGTGAAGGGCATTGCTTTGGGAAATCATTTTGGGAGATGGCTGAGATGGTGGGACAACTTGATGGATTAAAATGCAGCATAAGTAAAATTCATGTAGCAGTCTTTCCTGTCTTCATATGGAAAGGAGCATGCACCATGCACTTTCCATTTATATCCTGATATTCCTCCATGGAATATCCTGATTTATTGCATTTATATCCTGATATTCCTCCATGAAAGCCAAGGCAGCATAGGCCACATCCACACCATACATTTAAAGCACATAGTCCCGTCCCCCCGAATCATGGGAAGTGTAGTTTACCCACCACAGAGCTACAAATCCAAGCACCATTAACCAAGTGCAGTTCCTATGATTCTTTGGGAGATGCTGTGGCTGGGCTCTAAATGTCTGGTGTGGGTGTGAACATACATGGTTCTCTCTCACACACACTCATGGCCCCATTTTATTTTCTGTGCGGAAGCTTAAGCTGAGAGGGAATGACTGATCCAAAGTCACCCAGGAATGTCGTGGCTGAGTGGGGAGTCGAACATTGGTCTCCCCAGTCCTGCTTCTGCACACAAACTACTACATCGCAGTGCCTTCTAACACATCAGACCAATTGTACTTCTGCCCATAACACACCAGGCACAAAAAACGTATTTGTGTTTCAAGTGTTTTGCTCCAGCCAACCTCGCTTTAAAGGAAGGAAGAGCAACCTTTGGTCTGCTGAAGCCACATTTGCGAGTGGGTAATTTGTCAGGAGCCGGAACCAAAGATGGACAGGGTTACCCCTCTTCCCTCTTTCTCCATGACTTGTTTCTCTCTTTCTGTCACTCCCTTTTCTTTCTCTCTTTGTCTCTGCCACCCATGTTTGTCCATTGCCTCTTCCCTCACTACCCACCAGGGTAATATGGCGCCCTGTGGCAGACCAAAATCGGATACCCCTCCCTGCCCTTGCACCACCTTCCCAAAACTGGGAGTAAAGTGAGGTGCCGGGCTTTGGGAAGGAAGTACAAGGACTCTGGCAGGCTCCTAGAGCCTTCCCACCTCCTTCCTAATGCTGGGAAAGTGCTAACTAGGCTTTGGGAAGGAGGTGGGTAATTAGGCTAAGGGCTGCATGCAGCCATAGGTTGCCTACCCCTGCTTTAAAGTGCCTAATCAGAAAGCACTTGCTCATTTACATTACCAGGAGCTTTGAAAAGAGCCATTGCTGGTTCTCTTGTAATGTACCTTCTCCTCCCTATCTTTCAAAATTGTGACTTAATTGACTTTGATGTAGTGTCATCGTACTCTATTGTGTTGTGACATGTAATGTGCCCAGAGCACCAGTCAGCCACTGTCTGTGTGTGTGTGTGTGTTTATTTATGCCTTTCCTTTCCTTGAGGGGCTTCTGCTGATGCAGTGCTTTGACTGGCTATTTATATATCTTTTTTTTAAATACTAATTCTTACAGGACCGGTTTCCAAATGGATACCTGCTCCTTGCTTCTAACAAACTGTACAGAAGTTAACACTGCTGATTCCAACAGACCTGATTCACACATTGGTTTAATTTTGCCAGCACCGCATGCTTCCAATTCTTCATAGTAAGAGGAATGTTTGAAATAGAGTCCACTTGTCTTAAGACCCACAAACTCCAGGTAAACTTCAGAGATCTTGTTGGGCAGGGCTGGTCTGGTGTCATGAGTCCCTTGTGCCAGTAATTTGATTCAGCAAAACATTTGTGGCAATGAAGCAACCATCCGAGAAGTGAGCTCCAGCATCGCCATCAGCATCGTGAAGCAACCTCATACCACAGGTGCTCACCAAACACAGGAGGCTGCCATAGAGTTGGAAGAGACCACCAGGGTCATCTAGTCCAACGCCCTGCAATGCAGGAATCTTTTGCCCAATGTGGAGCTTGACCCCACATTCCTGAGATTAAGAGTCTCATGCTCTACCGACTGACCTATCCACAATCATGCCATTAGTTTTTCTAGCCCAGTGCTGTTGACATTGACTGGCAGGGGCTCTCAAGGAGGTGGACAAGGTGCCATCTAACCATCTTAAGGACTCCACTCCAGATTTGTGTAGGGTTTACTCCTTAGCGTTTTCTTCTCCCAAAGATGTCCCACAAGGCAGTAGGTATGGATTTTTCCTCAGGGTTTACTCCCAAAGCCTTTCGCATGAATGAGTGAAGAAGTTTAGGATTAGAGTTTTCCTTCTTCTAGATGGGCTTACCTTCCCAGGTGGATGAGGGTCGAGCCCCATCTACCCCTCATTTCCCTGTTAAGCCATTATTTTCGCCATCACTTTCCAAACTGCAAAACGCTTGCTTTTTAAAAAATGGATTTTTGGGGGGACTTACATTTCCAATAAGCAATTGACTCCCTCCTGCAAAATACTGAGATGACCTTGGTTTCCGTTTAACTTTTTTCCTGTTAGCTGTTTCTGAATCTCTTCACTGGAAGAAAGGCAGGATATGAGAAGTCCTTGAATGGAGAAAAGAAATGAGGTTGAAGAAGGACAGAGAGGTGGCCGTGTAGTTAATTAACTAGCATTTAAGGGGTGTGAGTACTGTACACAGAGGCTTGCTAATTCTGCGGAAAAGCTTGCGTAGGCAAGTCTTTGTAGTAGGGTGATTTATTTGCAAGGGAACATGGTGAAACCTTGCTGGTTTGCTCCTTGGCTGTAAACATCCAACAGTCCAGGAAGTGTCTTTTTTTAACCCATGGCTTCCATTATTGTCATAATGATACCTTGCGCTTGAGAGGAATGTTCTAAATACATTGTGGCATACTGTTTACCACAACTGCTCTTTGCATAACTTAGAAAACCTTCGTGTTATTGTGTCTCTCGCCTGTCTGCTTACCTGTCTGTCTTAGTACTATGCACTTCCATTTCCCGGAGCGGAAGAGGAAGGGGCAGTAGGACAGGTTTTTGCTGTACATCTTTTACAGCTCACTCAGCCTTCCCCAACCTGGTGCCCTCCAAATGGCTGGGATTTATGGGGGCTGGAGCCCAATAACTTCTGGGAAGGCACCAGGTTGGGGAAGGGATACAAATAGACCGCTTTGGGGGAGAAGACTCCAACAGTCGATGGCATACCTGCTAATCCTGCATCACGTTTCCAAAGGGAAGCAAGTGGAGCAGCTCAAGCCAATTCACCTTTAGGCAGCTCCCATCTCTTTCAGCTTCTTTGTTCAAAAGCTGCTCAACACTGCTGAAGGGGGTCACCTTCCAAAGGCAGGGAGGAGAGATTCTCAGCCATTAGGAAGGACCCATTCCTGTAACCTTTACTCATTCAGCTCTACCATCCTTGGCTATGTATGTATGTATGTATGTATGTATTTCTTTTCTATCCCATCCTTTCTCCTGAAGGAGCTCAGGGGCAATGGTAAAACATTTTTAAAAACAACCACCACCAGCAATATTTTTTTTAAAAAAAGAAAATTCTAAAAATAGTTGTTAAATACATCCTGGAAAGACTTGAAACATTCACAACCAGTAATAAAAGTAATAATAATAATAATAATAATAATAATAATAATAATAATAATAATTATACCCCACCCATCTGACTGGGTTGCCCCAGCCATTCCAAAGGTTGTCATCAATAGTGTCTTTCAACCACCAAATGCCTGGGCAAACAGGAATCTTCTAAAATTTCTTCTGAAATTCAATAATGAGGGAGACCTAATTAGACCTAACTCACTAGGGAGGGCGTTCTATAAATGAGGAATCGCCGCTGCAAAAGCCCTGTCATGGGTCACCATCATAGGAAACAGAAAGGATGCCTGTGGGGCCACACAATCCCAAGGCCTTGGCGCTGAGCAATAATCTCCTAGTACTACTTTCCGGTAGTAATCCTGCAGGTAGGAGCAGCAACACAGTAGTACAGTACTTCCAATTCCCAACCCCCACCTTTTTTAGTCACGCCAGAAGAACGCTGACAATGGTATCAAAAGCCACTGAGGGGTCGAGGAGAACATGTAGGGTTGCTTGTAGTAAGGTTAAAGCTTACTGAGAAATGATATATAATGAATTGAAAAGGTTGTTTAAAATAACATTTGTAAAAACAACAACCCCAGGAGCTTTTCTTTTGGGAATTATAGGGACAGAACTACCTAAACTGTATAGAAACTTATTCATGTATGCTACTGCAGCGGCAAGAATGTTACTTGCCCCAAAATGGAAAGAAGCAGAAGTCCCAGCAAAGGAAGAATGGATACAAAAACTTATGAAATATGCAGAAATGGCAAAACTTACCCGAAGAATAAGAAATCAAGATGACAATCTTTTTCTAAAAGAATGGAAATGGTTTATTTAATATTTACAGATAAATTGTAAACAGATAAGGATTATTGTAATAACCTGCAGTTTTACATATATATATATATATATATATGCAGTATATATTTAAAGTAGATGAATAAATGAGCAAATTAAGTTAATTTGGATATGCAGAAGATATTAAAAATAAATTTAAGGAACCATAGAAAGAGGGGAAAGGAAGTCAAGTTTGGAAGTGTAAAAATGATTGTAAAATTAATGAAATGTATAAACCTGAAAAATATAATTAAAAAAAAAGATAGCGGTCATCAATCAAGACAACCAAGGCTTTTCCAGTGCCCGAAGCAGGCCTGAAATCAGACAGGAATGGATCTAGATAATCTGTTTCCTCCAGGCATATCTGCAGCTGGGTAGCCACCACCCCCTTGATCACTTTGCCCCAAAAGGAGATGTTAGAGATTGGAAGATAGTTTTCTAAAACCTCTGGATCCACGAAGGACCTCTTCAGGAGGTTTTGCACCTCTGTCTCTTTCAAGGTGGCTGCTATAGCTCCCTCCATAGTGAGGCATTGACCACCCCCTGGACCTACCCAGACAACCCCTTCCACTAGATTTTACCATGCCACTCTAAACAGCTCTGCTGGACAATTCACTGAGGATGTAATAATAAGAATAGTAGTAGTAGTAGTAATAATAGTAATAATAGTACCTCACCCATCTGACTGAGTTGCACTAGCCACTCTGGGTGGCTTCCAACAAATGGAAAAGTATCATAAGAAACACCAAACATTAAAAACTTCCCTAGGTAGAGGAAGTTGCTAAAAGTCTCCTGCTCCCTGAAACAACTCTTCATTTCCCCCCACTGCTCCCTTGAGCCTGGAACTGTTTGCTGTATTGCCTCAGTGCAACCATTTCCCTTATTTCCTTTTAATTGCTCATCAAAATTACCTTTCCCAGAAAGCCTTTGGATCATCCACCCAGCCTGGAGTGTGACCAAGTTAAAGTATGTGTAAATGAAATTCTCTTTCCTTAGCTACCTGTGCCTCCATTTCCTTCCTCCCTTCTGCTTCCCTCTCTTTTGGAATAGGGACCAGTCCTACCTGTTCTTCAAAAAGCACCATGCAAACCAATTGGTCTGTATTAAATAAATGAAATCGCTCCCATTTAGGGAACTTCAACTGATCACCCTGAGTATTAGCAAGCGATCATCTTAAGATAGGATGGTCCCCGTCCCCAGCAACCGTCATACCATCAAACCCCTTTTTGACATTCCGCTAGCCTTTGGTGTGACCAAGGAACAGAATCCACAATGCAATGATTCACAGAGAAGCAGGCTTGATTCTTCATGGCAATAATAGCTGGTTATATAAAGCATGCATGGCCCTCCACTCCCATGATATCCTCAGTGCACCTCGCTACTCTCTCCCATATAAGTAAGTTTGCCACTATTGTTGGGGTGGGAATAAAGTCCACAATGATACTATGCTTACGGTAATGAGATTTGAGTTCGACTAAATGCGTTTTGGAGCCCCACCCAACCCTGTGACTCTGGTTGTAAAAAGAGACTGCTAATGAGGTCAAGCCAGATGGACAAGTGTAGCCTGGCAGGTTCCCTTTTGTTGGGAGAATGGTGGGCTTTTGCAAAACTAGAGAGGCCAAGTGCAGGTGATGTGTTGCTACAGAAACAAACTTATGGCAGGGGGCATGTCTTTCTTTCTTGGCTGGAGGTTATATCATCAAGGTGTCTATTTCTGAAAGAGAACAAAAGACCAGCAGTCTTGAAGCTGGAGCCGAAAGAGACACAGAGGCATGACTCACCCTCTGCAAGAGCTATAGCATTGGGAGCCCTCTAGAAGACTAATGGAGCAGGTTCTGTTGGAGTGTTGATGCTGTATAGCTTCCTTCTTATGCTCAATAAGTGTGGGTGTTGGTGTCTGTAAATAAATCTTCATATCACAGGAACCATCTTTAGTCTCTAGTGATCTTGCTTCTAAGGTACATGCTGGGAACCTCTGAAATCTCTCACCCCTCCGAGATTTGGGTGTGCATAACAATAATTATCTGGTCATGTTGTGCGGATGCCTGATGTTCGTCTTCCAAAGCAACTACTCTATTCCAAACTTAAAAATGGAAAGCGTAATGCTAGTGGTCAACAAAAGAGGTTTAAAGACTGTCTCAAGGCAAATCTAAAAAAATGTAGTATAAACACTGACAACTGGGAAGCACTGGCCTGCGAGTGCTCCAGTTGGAGAACAGCCTTTACCAAAGGTGTCATGGGCTTTGAAGACACTTGAACTCAGGATGAAAGGGAGAAATGTGCTAAGAGGAAGGCACGCTTGGCAAATCCACACCGTGATCAACTCCTGCCCGGAAACCAATGTCCCCACTGTGGAAGGACGTGTGGGTCCAGAACTGGCCTCCACAGTCACTTACGGACTCACTGTTAAAACTGTGTTTATGGAAGACAATCTTACTCGGCTACAAGTGATCGCCAAAGAAGAAGAAGAATACAACGTATCTGGGAATAAGTTCTCACAGGACTTCCTTCTGAGTAGACATATGTGGAATTGTGCTGTCACTAAGCTCTATTTCCATGTTCTGACTTAATGTGGGACAATCACAAAAGCTGCTATGTTAGGATGCAGGACTATACTGCTCTGCTGAATGGAAAACCCCATCATCCAATACTGTTAAGTGCAACTCTGTTCTTTAAATTAAGCTTTGCACCTTGTTTTTTGAGTACTGTTGTAGGCAGAATGTTCTGTCTTCCTGTGTCCTAATTCACATATCACATCAAACTGTGTGTCAACAGCTACACCATGGGTTAGCTGTATGAAGATGGATTCACACCTTTCATAATCCGCTTTTCTCCTTTGGCTGCAGGGAGGCTAATCTAGATTAATTAACCAATGTTAGTATTACATCTGAACTGTAATTTTTGACCTAAACATAGTTTGTTGAAACAAGTCACCTTGCACAACTGTGGTTAGAAGATGATTTGTTTCAACAAACCATAGTTAAGATTAACAACAGCTTATCTGGTTTGGATGACCAGGCAAGTTACAGTTAATAGCCAAGTGGGGATTTGAACAACTTTGGTCTCCCAGGCTCTTGTCCAGAACGCTAACCACTACACCACATTGGCTAGAAATAATTGCTATGATTTAAATAGGAATACAATCAGGTGATCTGAGTGCATGCTCAGCCTGCTCCTTGGGTGCTATTGATGGGTTAATAATAATAATAATAATAATAATAATAATAATAATAATAGTTTTATTATTTCTACCCCACCCATCTGGCTGGGTTTCCCCAGCTACTCTGGGCGGCTTTCAACAGAACATTAAAAACAGAATAAAACTTCAAACATTAAAAACTTCCCTAAACAGATGTCTTCTAAAAGTCGGGTAGTTGTTTATATTCAGATTGTTATCTTCAGATAGTTGGAAAGTTGATCTCTCTTCATACGGTTCATAATCTTTAAAGCAGGCTTGGACTGGACAGCGCTTCAGAAAGAGGGCTCTTAAGAGGGGAGGCAGTCTTCAAATATGAGGACTGTCCTCTACAAAGTAGGGCGCAGTGCCAGCCTCTTTGAAAATGTGCAAATCATGCCAGGACCCATAATCCCCAACCATTACCTTGGAATATGACAGTCCCCAAGTTGGCCACTGCATCAAGGAATTTGAAAGCGCAGCTGTGAGCACAAACTCAGCAGCATGGGGAGGGAGGAGGAGGGAAGAGAGGGAGAATGACACATGCATTATCAGCTTACAAGTATGTGGTTTGTTTAAATCATAGATGCTGGAGCTCTGATGACATCAAAGGAGGCCTGGCTTGAACACGCCAGCTGTTGGTTGCATGTGACACCTGACAGCACAGAGTATTCCAGCTATGTGGCTTATCAGACAGCAGCCAATTAAGAAATACCCTGACCACACTCTATAATTTTCCTACAAAGGGAAGATTGGGAGCAGCAAAGGTGGAGAAGCGCAGAGGAAAAGGATGTAAATTAAGCCTAGGTAGGCCATTTCTGTGTCGCCAGCAAATTCTGGACCCAGGTCTATCAAGCCATTACTCCACTTTTTCTTGATCAAGTCTCTAGGGCGGTCTTTCTCAACTTCCTCCGTCTTTCTCCTTCCACTGTCAGAGGCATTATGCCTCTGAATACCAGTTGCTGGGATTCACAAGTGGGAAAGAGTTGTTGCTGCTCACCGCACTGAGACCCTCCTTGCAGTCTTCTCATCTGGTGGACCACTGTGAGAACCGGATGCTGGACTAGATAGATGGACTTTGGAATCACAGATTTATAGCAAGAGGAATGTAGACAAATCGCAGCAGGTTCCAGAAAGGGCTACAAAGATGATCAGCTGTATGGATTAGTTACCCACAACCACTCAGGAATGAGTTGTCCCCATTTCAGCCTTTCAAGTTGGCCTGAAAGAAAGTGACAGCCCACTGTACCGCAAGGTTGAGAGAGGATTGGAATCCAGCACTTCTTGGCTGAAGTTCAGGACTATCCACTGCCCTACTGTTCTTCAACCTCAGGTCTCTAAATGTTGTTGGACCACAACTCCCACCCTTGACTAAGATGGCTGGGGATTATAGGAATTGCGGTCCAACAATGTATTGGGATCCTAGGTTGAAGCACACTGCACTACACCACATTGATGCTTCTTGCACAACAGAATGTCTTAATATATTGCACATCATGCTTGTTGGAGAAGACATGACAACTCTCTTCAAATACCAGAAAGGCTGTCACAGAGAAGAGGGCAAATGTTGTTGCTTTTTTCTTTGCTGCCCCAGAGAGCAGAACTAGATCTAATGAGTTTAAGTCTCTGGAGGGTAGATCCTGGTTGAATGTGATGGCCTCTTCCTCTCTGGAGGTCTTCTAGCAGAGACTGGACAACCACTTGTTGGAGGGGATCTTCTTTGAGTTTCCTGCATCAAGCAGAGGGTTGGCCTGCAAGACCACCTCCTACCCTTATGACTCTATGGCACCATCTGCACTGTGCATTTAAAGCAGTACCATACTGTTTTAAATAGTAATGTCTTCCCCAGAGAATCCTGCAAACTGTAGTTTGTTAAGGGTGCTGGGGATTGTTTGGAAACTCCATTCCTTACACAGAGCTACAATTCCCAGAGTTCCCTGGGAAGAGAGATTTACTGTTGAACTGCTCTGGGAATTGCATCTCTGTGAGGGGGCAGATGAGTCCTAAGTTTCTCTGCTGAGTAGATGGAGACTGAGATCGGCTCTCCCCCCACAAGGAGGGATAGCACCTCACTTGGCAATTTCAAATGCAGCATTTTAAATGTTCTTGGATTGTCCACTGCAGCCTCATTTTGAAGATGTGGATTGGGGTTAAGAAGTGATGCAATTTTTGGAGAAACCTCGCATTCCTACTTTTCTAAACAATGATCCTCCGGTGGATAATTTGTATCAGGTCTCTTGGATTGTCCAATATATCAATTATTTGCCTAGTTTGAAAACCATAGTTCAGAACAAACTAACCATAGAAGGCACAGAGAAGAATTCAAGAATTGTCCAAATGCTCCAAATGATTGTTTATTTATTGCAGATTATTTTACTCATTCAGTGCAATGATATCCTACCTTCCCTCCAGACAGCTCACCTGGTGAGCTTCTTGCCAATGAAGACAAATTCACAAAGACAAATTTATGGTTGATAAAGCTCTCTGTGGTTATGCTCTGCCTCCATAGTCCAGTTGCTGGAAACCACAGGAAGGGAAAGTGCTCTTGAGCTCACCTCCTGCTGGCGGGCTTCCCACAGGCATTTGATTGGCCACTGTGAGAACAGGCTGCTGGACTGCATGGGTCACTAGCCTGATTCAGCAGACTCTTCTGATGTTCTTATGGTTGAGTGGGGGATTTGATCCCATGTCTCCTCAAGTCCCTGAGTTCCTCCAGAGAGCCTATTTATTCAGCATTCATGCTGATACTGCTTGGACAGTCTTTACTGAGCATTGCTTCCAATTTATTTACAAGGAGGTGATATGACAATGAGCTTTCATTCTGCATTCATCCAGATTTGTTTGTAGGATGTTTGCATTTCTTCCCATTAATCATGCATTCATCCCACACTTTTCAATGCATTTCCGTATCATCTTCCAAAACGTCAGTGGGTTTGTTTAAGTGGATTTGTTGCAATGGGGTGACAGTGTGTTTTAATCCACTTTAATTGTGCAGACTTAATCGAGATGTGGAAAATATGGAAACAACGAGGATAGGCAGGACTGAGATCTGGATATGCTTCAAGGTCCAGACTATGGGAAGCCCCGAAAAATTAATAATTATAATTTGGATGGTAATTTGGTCTTTTTTATTTTAGTTTTTTGTTTTAATTGGATTATGATTTGAAATGTTAATTGGATGCTTTTTATTGGAAAATTAATAAAAGTGATTCAACAATAATTGTGTAGACTTAGGACTCGTCCACGCTTGTCTCATGCGTAGAAAGCAGGGTTCTGAGCAGTTTACCTCTTGCTCTGATATTTTCCCAGAGAAAGCCTCCTGTTTAGTGCTAAGTCAGAGAAAACGTCAATCCAGAGAAAACCCAGATTGCCATTTGCTCTGACTGAATGCTAAAGAGTAGCTTTCCCTGGAGGAAAGCAGCGGGACAAGAGGAAGTATGGATAAGACCTTAATTCCTCCCAGACAACATTGACAGTCTGAAGACACCCCTAGTCTGGCATGCCAACCATTACATCACACTGGCTCTCGGCTCCAATTCATGGCAATAGGATTTCATTTCTCTTCTATCCCTTCTCGCCAACTTTATCAACATCCACATTTGAAACACTGTGATATCACTCTAACAGCCAAGGTTTGCCTTAAACAATCCTGGGAGCTGTAATTTATCAAGGGTGCTGAGAGTTGTTAGGAGACCCCTGTCCCACTCACAGAGCTACAATAACCAAATTTGCTGAGGAAAGGGATTGATTGTTCTACCACTCTGAGAACTCTTGCTCTGCGTGGGGAAGAAGAGGTCTCCTAACAACTCTCAGTACCATAACAAACTACAGCTCCCAGGATCCTTTGGGGGGGGAATCCACCATGTTTATTTAAAGAGATATCATAGTGCTTTAAATGCACAGTGCGGATGCAGCCCTTGTCTGGATTTAGTGTTTTATAGGACACGACTCAGCAAAGAGCCCTCTGCATAAGCGCCATGAACAGGAGGAGGAGCACAAGATATTCAGGTTCCCTTTATTTCAGCGTGGCACTTGCATCATAGATCTTGCTGCTGGATGGGGCCCTTAATTAGCTGCATTAAGGAATGCAAGCCATTTATATAATCACCATGCATTAACGACAGACTACAACAATACCCGGCTACTCGTTGCCTACTGCAATAAAGCCGGTGCGTGTGGCAACACAAAGGGAGGCACGTTCAAGGCCTTGCTGAACACACAGCCCAAAAGCCCACATTGTGCATACGCTGCAATTTCGGACACGTTAGGGAAATTGCTTGCGTGGCACAACTCTCCTTCTGAGGTGCTACCTAAGTAAGCAAGTGCTAAGCCACGTATGTAGGGAGCAGTGAAGGCTAGTCCATTACGGCAAATGGGGCACTGCCCCACCAACCTCGGCCTGCCCACTGCTAGCTCCAGCCTGCCTTCTTACTGACAACCAGCCCCAGAGGCAACCCAACCTGTCAACCTCTCCCTTCTCCTTCTCCATCTCTCAGTATTGCCCTTGTAGAACTTAGCAGGAAGCTTACCCTCCAACGTGGTGTGGCCCAAATTCAAAGCACCATCTTCCAGGTCTGAAATCACATGACCTGGAAAAAGCGCTATTCTCGGGCACGGCACCCAAAAAGCACATGTTTGGGGGCACTGCATGAGATCACAGACCCAAAAAAGTGCTTTTTTCAGGGCGGGACTGAGCCCGAAATTGCGAGAGAGCAAGGCACCCAAAACAGCCACCATACTTTCACAGGGGGGAGCAGGATGTCCCAATTTTTCCAGGGCAGTTGATGGGTGTGCAGGAAGGCAAATGGGCTCTGCCTATCATTGGCTGTGGCTCCACCTCCTGTTGACTTCCCTACCTCTTGTCCCTCCACTCTCAATGGTCACCAGCTGTCACCGGTTGGGGGTGGCGTGTGCCAAAGCTAACTCATTTGAAAGATAAAGCTCTCCAAATTGATCGCCTGCAACTGTGCAAGGCTTTGACTATACCGAGTGTGTGCTCAAACAGAAAAACGTTACGCGCCCCTTTGTTTTTGGTCACACATAACTTTTTCAGGAATTGCCTTTGAGGTAGATCCATGGGAAGCCAGGCCATGGCTGGTGTTGCTAGGGCTTAAACCGGGGATCTTCCAGATGCAGTACCTAAAGCTGCAATCCTAAATCCACCTACCTGGGTGTATGGCCCATTGAATTCAGTAGGGCTTACTTCTGAGCATGGGCATAGCCAAGATTTTTGTTAGGAGGGGACAGGCTTTGTTGGTGGGCCAGAACCTCAGGTTTGCATTGATTTGCATTGATTTGGATTGATTTAGGTGGGTAGCTGCCCTCCCTGGCGACGCCCGTCCTTCTGCATAGACATGGTTGGGCTTGTGCTGTAAGCTCTGCTACTAAGCTTTGGGTCCCTTCTGGTCAAATCTGCCAGGATGATCAGATGCATTTTATTTCCTTTCAGACCAATATGCACCTGTCACTCACAGTGTGGTCAAGCATTGTCCTGAGGCAAGCAAAACCTGCTGGGGACTGATCCTAGACACTCTGTGATTTTATGACAGGATGACATCTTTTTTAACTTGTTGATACCCATTTTCATTTTACTTTGGTGTTTTTTTAACCCATTGAATTTATTCTATTCTATTCTATTCTATACATTTGGATACTCTGCTTTATGTGTTTTCTATTTTGTTTCCTTATGTTTTGTGCTGGTCATTGGCCATAAAAATAAAGATTTATTTTGGGTACAGGAAATAGAATCCATTTCAGCAAATGGACATTTTGCATTGCAAATAAAAACAGATACATAGAAGTTGCACAGGGAATCTTGGAAATGTGAAGAAATTCATAAACTCTAAATTGTACTGCTGCATTTGAAATGAAAAAATAAAGGCCCATTCTCAGAAGTTAAGTGTGGCACTTACAGACAACTCCCCATTTGCACGCATTCAATATGTGTGCGACTGCACATACATGCATCACGAAAAACCTGACCTGAAAATGTCACAAAAATATCACAAAAAGGGGCAGAATAGGGTGGGGCAGGGGCAAGGTAGGGCTAGAACGGGGTGTTTGCAAGCTTTTCCAATGGTGTTTCAAATATACACAATTTCACCGACACACATGTCTCAGAACATAACCCCCAGGCAAATTGGGGGGGGTAGTGTTGCCTGTACACTGATGGCATGATTTCTTACAACAACCCTGTGAAGTTGGTTGGATTGAGAGATAGTGAGTGGTATGTGCCAGATGACAAGCAAGAGAGGGGAACCAATGTCAAGACTGGTAGGAATGGGTGGGAGGAGCAGCTGCTATTTGAGTTGTGGGAGAAATTTGATTCAGTTTGCATTTAAGGACAAAACAACCTAAGTGATGCGCTCCAATACAATATGTGAACCAAAATACAGTCATGGTTCAAATTCTGCACTTCTCTGAATTTTGCAATGTAGTTCTTCAGCCAAGTAATATTTACAAAAATACATATGCTGGTGAAAATGGCATGCCAAAATGCATGACATCAGGGGAAGTTGTTTCACAGAAATGTGCACAATAGGCCAGATTGCATACAAAGATATGTATATTAGGACAGGGTTCCAGTGAATTTTCAAGCAACTGCTTGAAGGAGACTTGGAGAATTGAATTTAAAATGGAAGAAACAAGACTTCAAAACTGAGTGATTCCAACATTTCTAGTTTCTACCCCTAAGCAACTATGGATGGTGTTTGAGCTAAGCAGTGACACAACCATAGCCTGAACGTTAACCTCATCCATCTCAGCTCAGAGCCCATCAGCAGGGGCGGAGGAAGGGGGGAGTGGTGGGGGCAGTCCGCCCTGGGTGTCACCATTGAGGGGGGTGACAAAATGCCAAGATGTACTCACCGTGAGGCAGGCAGCGTGCCCAAGCCATGCATCTCTTCTGGGAGTGAGGCAGTGGCTTGGGCACTTGCAGGCTCCGCAATGCCCCCAAACGGTCTGCCTTCCGCCTTCCCCTCAGCTGTAGGGCGACTGAGTGGGAGGAGGCAGGCAGACTCCTTGGAGGCCCCACAGAGCGTCCTGCCCCAGCTCGCCCTGCCTCCGCCTCTGGGTTCAGGGTACGCACACTGCCCCAGGTGCCTGACTGGCTTGCTCCGCCGTTGCCCATCAGTGGGAATCTAGGTATGCAAGTTCCCAAACAGATACTATGAGCCAGAGCCACTTCACTGGACGCTGGTCTAGCCATTGGCCATTACTCTCCATCTCTCTAGGAAAGAACAGGTCGGCACTGGAAGTTTACTTTGGATATTCCCCCCCCCCTGACAGTTTCTTGGAAAATGAAGCAGACATCTGGTAGCAAGAAGGAGGGGAGGGGGGGGAAACAGATCAGAGAGGAAAGCAGGGAGGTGCAAATTCCCAGAGGGGAAGGCAGTGCCTGTCTGCTTCTTACATAAGATATATAGGTCGCAATCTGCTTTGGAGAAGGGCAAGGCGCTCTGTATGCCAAAGTAAACAGGCTTGTCTTATGGAAAACCACTCTGTGGTTAATATTTATCAAAGGTCATTATTTAAGACCCAGTGATAAGAAGATCAAGAGACAAGGAAATAGATCAGTTTTCAGTTCCCCTCTCAAGTTAATTGCAATCTTGAGGAGGCAATAGCTACGTGGCTCAAACAAATTAGGCGGCACACGCATTGTACCTTTAAAGCACACTTGCTCCTCAAAGATTTCTGGGCACTGTAGTTTGTTAAGGAAACTACCATTCCCAGAATTCTTTGAGGGAAGAAATGCACTTTGAATGTGCTTTAAATGCATACTATGTACACAGCCTCTGTTGAAGCCCTGTGATTTGTTGTATCCACTGTGAAAAGCGAGCATACTGACAGCCATCCACAAGTTTTTAAGCCGAAATGGATTCCTATGACACTTTGAAAGACTAACAATTTTATTATGGCCTTCACTTTCAAAGATAAGGGTCCCCTTCAACAGGCACATCTATTCAAGGTTGCCATCCTATACTCAACTTATCAGGGCGTAAGCCCCCTTGAACTCAGTGGGACCTACTTCTGAGTAGACAAGTCTAGGCTTGCACTGTTGGTTCCACTGAAAGAAGCAGGATTTACTTCTGAGTGATCATGTATAGGAATTGCACT